CTCTCTGCCCTTCCCCTGCTCATACTCTGTCTCTGTCTGTCTGTCTGTCTCTCTCAATAGTAAACATTAAAAAAATTTTTAAATAATCTAAAACTAAAAATAAATTTTCTCTGTGGCTAAATGTAAAGTACTGTACCACACACAGAAGTAATGGGTCTCTTGGGCACCTGGATGGCTCAGTCAGTTAAAGTCTGACTCTTGATTTTGGTTCAGGTTTTGATATGCTTCGTGAGATCAAGCCCCCATGTCAGACTCTGAGCTGACAGCACAGAGCCTGCTTAGGATTCTTTTTTTCCTTCTCTCTCTGCTTCTCCCCCTCTTGCACTCACTCCCTCTCTCAAAATAAATAAATAAACATTAAAAAAAAAGTGATGAGTCTCTCTTATGAACCACAGTGCAAATGAGTCACCAGCTGAACTAACCCATTTTTTCACAGAACACCATTTTCACTCAAAAGAATAACAGACAGATAAACTCTGGTCATTACGACTTGGTTATTTGGCAGACGTTTTCTCAAATTCAAACCAAGTAAGCCTGTCATAGTATTTACTAATGATAAAATTTGAGCTTTTCAGCGAAAATTAGAATTTTAGAAAATTTGCATGCACTATCATGAGTTGATCGATTCTCATACATAAACTTTTTCTGATATTAACAAATATAACTTTTACTATCCTCTAATGAATTGTATCAATATTTGAAAGATCTATATAATCCAATGAACCAATATTTTCCAAATGACTGAAACAGGATATTATAAAACCCTGCATGGGTAACAGAGCCATTCATAGCACAGGGCAGATACATAGACTTTAATAAGATTGAGTACAACAAATACATTGATATAGTTTCAGATTCTACATTGCAACTACCATTTAAGAAAATACTACTTGTTGAGTTCTGGTGTAGTCTCAAATTATGTGAAAAGGCTATTAAAATGCTTCTCTCTTTCCCAATTACATATCTGGGTCAGGCCAGATTTTCTTCATATATTTTAACCAAAACAACATATTACCAGTAGAAGCAGATATGAGAATCCAGCTGTCTTCTATAAAGCCATACTTAAGAGAGTTACAAAATTATATTAAGAAAAGCCACTCTTTTATGTAGTTATTTTCATAAAAATGCACTCCTGATGTTAACATATTATGGGCTAATTATTTTTTTAATGTTTATTTTTGAGAGAGAGGGAGAGTGGTGAGAGGCAAAGAAAGAGGGGGACAGAGGATCTAAAGCGGGCTCTGTGCGGGGCTCAAACCCCTAAACCACAAGATCATGACCTGAGATGAAGTCGGATGCTTAATTTAACCCACTGAGCCACCCAGGTGCCCCTGGGCTAGTTATTCTTTAATGAGTTAATAAATACACATATTTCAGTCTTATTTCTAATATGGCAAGTGTCAATAGATATAATCCACATAAACAAAAGCTCTTCGGAGACGACAGTTTTCAAGAGTGTAAAGTGATCTTGAGACTCAAAAGTTTGAGAACCACTGGTATCAGTGGAGCAAAACCATCAATGGCTGCCCACCTAGCTTGGCCCAGGGATGCTATGTTCTATTCACCAGCTGCCTAGGTCTACTGTCAGGACCCTCCACTGCCACTCCTACTGGCTGCTCACCACAGTAGTTGTGCCAACCTCTGGTTTCTACCATTGCATGGTCCTATCATTCCCATCGCTGTCAAAGAGCCAATCCTGTAGCAGCCTCTTACTGTCAGCCCTGGCCTACAAAGGACGGCCAAACAGCTTCTCCCAGTGCATTCCCCTTTGCTCTGATAACCAGAGTATCTTCTGGGCTTTCCTGTGGAACTGAAGAGGGTTTCTTGCCTTATATAGAATACCAACTTATAGCAGGCTCCCTTCTTTGAGCTTTTGGAAGCCTTCCTCCATCTTCTGCTATGGCATTTCTGGCATTTTCTTTTCCCTTGGCCGGCCATTGCCTTTCCCCTGTCTCCCAGGATCCATGTCAGGGTATTAAATCCTCTTTCACCTGAGAGTGCTTCCATATCAATAAACTCTCTCTCTCTCTCTCTCTTTTTAAACTTAACATTCAGACTTGGCTCCCCATTGATGCAGCCTGTACATCTTCTCCTGGCTCATGCCAGCACAAGTTGGCTAAGTTTGTAGCTCCTTTGCAGGTATTGTCCTCTTCCTTTCCTAGCAGGCTCCTGAACATCTCTGGCTGGGTTTTGTTGCAGCTTGGCCCTTATGAGTTGGTCTTGTAGGCCAAGAGAGAGAGGCAGCTTCCTTTGGCCCCTGAGAGCCATTTCCAGAGACAGTGGAAGCTCTGAACCATCAGTAGCCAACACTCCTGGCAGCTGGAAGAATGAGTGCCTCCGCCCCGATCTGAGGGTACCCGCAATCATCAGAGAAAATCATCAGAGATGAATTTCAGCTCTGCCTATGAGGCAGAGTAGAGCAGGGATCAGAACCTAAGACCTTTGAGTCAGAAAGGCTCAGGTTTGAATTCTATCTCGCTATGTGACCTGGGGCAAGTTACTTAATTTTTCTGAGGCTCTTTCTTCATCTCCAGCGTAGAGATAAATAGTAACTACCTGATAGATTGATATGAGACAAATGAGATGAGGAACCTAAGTGCTTAATACAGTGCCAGCACATCATAAGGGCATGGATGTTGCTACTGTTATAACCGGTCAGACCTTTCCAAAGCTGAAAAGGCTGCCTTATGGAACAGACAATAAGGTACATTATCATGGAGAGTCTTTTAGCTGTCGCTGCAGAGGTACTCCACAGAGATGTTGTGGAGGAGGCTCTAGGATCCATGGGAGTATTCACAAAAGATGACCTTGGGGGCCCATTCTGTCTCCAAGCTGCCCTGACGCTCTGATTTCTCTGACTCTGCTTACCCTTGGTGGGGGAGAGGCACTTAGAGAAGCGTATTCACTTTCAGGCCACTAGGGGGCCATTTAGTTGCCTGCAACAGGAATACACTAATGGTTTCTTAATGGCTCAGGCACCAGGGAGATCAGGCTCAATTATATCTGAAAGCATTTTGAGTTCCTAGGGTAAAAGACACTATGTAAATCCAGATAATAAATAGGGATTATTGATGACAGGTTAAAGAATCTGGCACTGTTTCGTTTGGAGAAGAATAGGGTGAGAGGAATTGAATAAGGGCTTTGAGTATATGTATTCCTTAACATAGAGAAGAATGACATACTGTTTTCCTACCCCACTGGGAACCAAGCAAGACGAAAGTTTACTTTGCAACAGAAGAAATACGGAGTGCATTCAAGAAAGAGGATGGAAGGAGGCTTTGGTTTGGCCTTACCTGGAATCTTTCAAAATAATTCACCCTAGTATAGTTCATCTGATCAGTTCTGCCAGGAAGACCAGAAAGCAGGGAAGAGAAGAGAGGACAACATCCAGAAACAATTCAGAGATTTTAACTTAACAAGTCACCCTGCAGTGGGGGGCTCTGGCCATCCCGGGAGCAGGATGGGGAAGGAGTAGTTGTCTTTCCCCCATCAACCCACAAAAGGCAATAAACTTTCCAAAATTTGGTGTCCTTAAAATCAGGAAGCACAAAGCCAGGCTATTCCTGGAGATAGCATCCAGTTGACCACCGCTAGTGACAGACTCACACCTGGATCTCAGGAAAGAGAGAGAGAGAGAGGCTGGGTTATAGACCTGTGGTTTAAGCAGCTGATCAGCACACTTAGCTCTGGTAGCCACATGACTTCTGTATGGCTGAGGTAGCAGGGCACCAGTGCTGGGGAGGACCTTCCTTATAAAGGGGCAGGTGTTCAGAAGGCAGAGGTTCCTGTAGGGGGAGGAGGGAACATGGGTAGGGCATAGAGGGTCCTGCCCCACAGAGCCGGAAGCCAGGAGTCAGGCTCACACATCCTGGGAAGGAGGAGGTCACCCGCAGGAACCCCCCCACCACCACAGCCCTCTGCCCACACACCCTCACACACACACAGTCTCACATACCCATTAAGACACCCAGGCAGTCCGCACACCCAGCTCTGGGAACACAGGAATTAGAATTCAAGGAGGAGGGAACCAGAAATTCTTGAAATCCTTAAACAGAGGGGAGTGGGGAAAACAGAAGGCAAGAGAGAGGAAGACAGAAGGACGAGGAAGGCACAGGGGAAAGCGGCTACTGAGAGTCCGAGCTTGGCAAGGGGACGTTGGCACCGACCAGACTGGAGGAAGGACAAACCTCACAAAAGAAGGGGGACGGAGTTGGGGGAGGGGAGAAGGCGAGAGGGGGCAACAGCCCAGACTCTGAGGCCCAGGGGGGATCAGAGAGGAGTAAAGCTCTGAGAGCCACACTCCACCGGTTCAGTGCGGTCCCTTGAGTCCAAATCAAGCCCAAAGCTGGGAGTCGGGCGCCCCAAAAAGCGGGCTCTGGAACCTGTTGAGAACTTCAGGACTAAGATAGGCGAGTCGGGAGAGTCCAGCTCAGCACGTGGTTCTGCCCCAGAAATTTCGAATGGTCTACGCAGCCTGACTCCGGGCTCTAAGAGAATAAGAGAGGGAATCGGAAAGATTTCAGCACCGCTCCAAAGCCCAGCCCGGGAGGGTGGTGGGGAGTAGGGAAGGGGCGCGACCAGCTGTGACCACAGTGAGTGTTCCGGGCTGCTTAGCTGCCTGCGCAGTACGTGGGCCAGGTTTGCTAGGAGTGAAGGGGTTCAGGAGACCTGTCCGGAGGGCACGTGGAGGGGGTATCGGCCGAGAGCATGAGCCTGAGCGTGGTATCACCCCCCACTTTGGGGGGTATACTGAGGCCTGGGGGCCGCAGCCGTTATCGCTCTTCCATTTGTCACTTCGGACAGTGCGGAGCGAAGGGCAGAGGCGCCGGAGTTGACAGCTCGGGGCTCCGACCGCCCCTCCCCGCCCCCTTTCCAGTTCCGCTCCCCGCCCCAAAATGCGCCGGTCCCCTTTTAAAGAAGCGCCCAGGGCTCCCATCCTCTCCGCGCCAGTCCGCGCGGGGCTGCAGCGACGTTGCCCTTTTAAGAACCAGCCTCCTTTAACTCTCTCCTAACGGGGCGTCCCAGAGGGGCTCGCGGCGCCCGACACAAGCCCGCCTCCCCTCGCGGCACTTCCGGACCCCGGCGTCGCCCTTTTAAGAGGCAGCCCCCAGCAGCGCTCCCCCCGCCCTCTGTGGCCGGCGCGCGAGGTGGGGGAGCCGGGCTGTAGAGGAGCGCGCCGTCCGCGCCGCCACTGGAGACCGGGCAGCCGGCGGCCGGGCAGGCGACGGCGGCAGCGGATGGGGACGCGGAGCCGAGCGGCTGTGGCGGCTGTGGCTGTGGCGGCGGCGGGGAAGCAGCTGACGGGCCGGCGGCGGCGGCGGCGCTGGCGGCAGTGACTGGTCCAGGCCCCGGCGGCGGCTGCAGCGACGCGGTGGAGGGCTGCGGGCGGGCGGCGTGAGGAGCGGCGGAGGAGCGCGGAGCTGCCGGGAGCCGAGGGCGCTGGGCCGCCCCTTGTCCAGTCCTCGCAGGCCGCCAGGCCCCCTCCAGCCGGGGCCGTGGAGCACCGGGGCAAAGGCCGGGGCCCCCCCATGAAGGAGCGCGACGCGGCCCCGGCCGAGCGGGGCAAGCCGGCCACCTACACCGGGGACAAGAAGGCGAAGATGGCGGCCAAGACCAACAAGAAGTGGGTCCGGCTCGCCACCGTGTTTGCCTACGTGCTCTCCGTGTCGCTGGCCGCCATCGTGCTCGCCGTCTACTACAGCCTCATCTGGCAGCCGGTGGGCGCCGGGACCTCGGGGGGAGCCGCCGGCCCGCCCCCCAGCGGCTCCAACGCCACCGGCCCGTCCGGGACTTCGGGGGCGGCGGCCGGGCCCAATGCCACGGGGTCATCCCGCCGCGAGGCTCCGCGCGACGCGCCCCCGCTGCAGGCGGCGCGGCCCATGCCTCCGGAGCCCTCTGCAGACAGTCCCCTGGCCGGGCCGCTGGAGCGGCCGCAGGGACCGCAGGAGGACGAGGAGGAAGCAGCGGCGGCGCCCGGGAGTCGTTGAACCCCTCCGCTCCAGGGGCGGCCGGGAACCATTCTCCCCTCCCCACGCCCGGAGGCAAGACTTTGCAGCAGGACGGGGCGGGGAGCCCGCGGGAGCGACCCCCACGGGAGTGAACGCCCTCTCTCCCCGCAAAGATCGCCAGCTAGCCCCGGGAGCCAGGGGCCTGCAGTCGGATCTTCAAGCCGAGGGACCACGATTCGCCGGGGGCTCGGGGTTTGGTCTTCCCAGGACCGTGCTGCGCCAGGGCTCTGAGCCATAAAGGGAATGGGGGGAGGGGTGGGGAGATCCCAGCTCTGAACCCTTTTTCGCCGCTAGCTCTTGTGTATCCTATATGCAGGGGTGACTCGGGCTTTCCCCCAAGACTCAGGGGAAGGAGGGAGCTGTAGGGGCTCTTCTTTAATAAGCTGAAGCTCTCGCAAGGAGGAGGGCACCAAAAGTAGTGGAGCTCAGGTACGTCAACCTAGTTGCAGTGGCCACAGATGCATTTAATTTATAGATCCCTGTATATAGTTGTTGACATATGCACTAGAAGCTATAATTACACAGAACTATATGTATCCTCCCACAACCCTGGGTAGCTTCCGACTGATGGGGTCATGCAAGGGCTATTTGCTGGCCCCCAAAGTGCAGCTAGCCAGAAGGGCACAAACACTGGTGGTTTTTTTTCAATCACCCACTCTTTCCCCTTTCCCCTCTCCTATTTCAGAAAGATAGGTTTATGACCCAAAAGAGTATAATCATTCTTAGGCTTGAAAGGACAGTGGAAAACCTTAGAAGAAGTAGAAGCAGTTTAGGGAGGCTGGAGAAGGAACTAACCCCCTCCTCTTCCCACCCTAGTGCCCCCACGGAAGAGGCTTCCTGTTGCAGCCCTAAGTATCTGGATACAGGCCAGGGAAGAAGGAAGGGAAAGAGCAATGCCTCTGTGCTTCAATCCTTGGCCTTCTCACAGAGTTCTTTTAGGAAGAGCAAGCTTTTGTAAGTAGAGTGGCTCACAAGTGTTTTTATATTATTTTCTGCCCCTCAAGATGTCTTGTTCCAGTAATCACCGTAATCACCCTTGCCTTCCCTCTTTGCTGAACCTGTGACAATGTAGCCCTGCAGTTAGGGCCAAGTCTGTTGTGAAACCAGAGCTTTGAGCACGTTTTCTGGTTTTGAATTGTATTATAGAACCAGAAAGGCTAAAAAGTGGGGCTTCAAACTCAGGATTGTGCTTTGATAGCCAGTTCGTAGACCAGCCATGGGAAGGTTACATTGGCTTGTCTTTACATCCGTCTCCTGATAAACCCTACTTATATTTGCAGCCTATACTTACTGAGAAAAACACCAAGGGAAAAGACATCTATATAGTTCTGGGACAGCAAGAATTCTGCATCCTCAATTTGGATTCCATTTCCTTCTCTGCCACTTGCTTTTAGGCAATTGAGTGTGGGTAGTGACAAGACATCAAACCCCTTAGCGTTTCCTTTTTGGGAAATGAGGCACTTTTTAAAAACAAAAACTTATCCACCTGAGTCCTGAAACAGTTGGTCTCTCCAGTTTTTTGGCCTCCACTCTAGTTAGCTCTGATCCAAGTTTACAGGACAACAAACCTTGCTTTAAGCCATGTTCTGTTGTGGGCAAGATAACAGCAGCTGAGCTGTCATAGCCTAGGAGCAGGCTGGTCGCACCCCCGAGGTGTCTTGGCTGGAGGAGATTTCTGAGCAGCTGACGTGACTTTAGTCATTAGGAAGCCTTTGAGGCCTTTTTAAATTTTTGGTGGGGGGTCTGGGGGTGGGGAAGAAACATAAAATGCCACTTTATAACTTCAATAATAGCCTGTAATTTATATTTATTGTGTGAATTTTTAGTCCTATATTTTAATAATTTGTAAATTGATCTCTTATTCCAAGAATCCTTTGAACTTGCAGGAGAACATCTGGGAATCCAGTCCCCTGTCCCCATCCCTGCATTCTGGACTGTTTAATCCACTTTGGGATGGATCAAAGAGTCTAGCGAGACCACTCGTAGGCCCAGCTGCTGGCCTCCTGACTCTAAAGCCTTCACTGGAATTGGGACATTAGCTCCAGCTCTAGCTGTGAACATGACCAGAGACATTATTTATAATTCAGCCATTTAAGATATACCTGTACTCAAAAAGTCCTGTATATTTTTTAAAAGTTTTATTTTTCAGGTGAACAAAAATACATTCTAAGAACTCTACATAAGCCTGTGTAAGTTGACCATTTCTCTTTCGTATTTCTTGGGGAAGGAAGTAGAGGTTGGAAGAAGGAAGGTCAGAGATGCGGTGGATGGGTGTTGATGAATAGGTGTCGGAGAAAAAAACCATTGCCCTGGTGTTCTCTGTGCCTGATGGCTTGACTGCGTTGCTTAGTTAAGGGCGGCAGGAATGCATCTTAGTCAGGAAGCAGTCATGGTGTTAGATGAACAATGATACCTGCCTCGGCCACCTTTTACCAACCTTAAAAAGATTCAAAAAAGTTCTGCTTTTAAAGGACTCTAAGCAGATAGCTAGCTGAGGAAGCTAAGGGACCAGTAAGCCAACATATTAAGAATGATTACAAACACTGAGCTGGCTGAGAGCTGCGGTGACAGGGGGCCACCCGATAGCCTCACTGTCCTCACTTTTTTTTTTTTAATTTTTTAATGTTTTTATTTATTTTTGAGAGAGATAGAGACAGCGTGAACAGGGGAGGGTCAGAGAGAGAGGGGGTCACAGACTGAAACAGGCTCCAGGCTCTGAGCTGGCTGTCAGCACAGAGCCCGATGCGGGGCTCGAACCCACGAACCGTGAGATCATGACCTAAGCGAAAGTCGGACACTTAACCGACTAAGCCACCCAGGCGCCCCTCACTGTCCTCACTTTTAACCACTGGCTCCTAGATAGTTCAAGAAGTGCTAACACTGGGAAAGAGGCACTGATGCACCTGCAGTGGTTGGTCAGAGCTTGTCGGCAGTGGAGCAGGCGAGAGGGCCAAATGGCTCAGAGAGGTGTAGGTTGCTTCAAAGGTGAAGCTTTCTCCTGCCCTGAAGCAAACAATAGAAGACAAGTGGGTGAAAAGCAAAATATAAGGGATTAGTTATAGTGCAAAGTACACAGCACACAGTTGAGCTCAGCTCATGATTAGACAATGCTGCCCAGTACAAAGTGGAGTGAGAAGCCGTGTTGGTGGGGCCCCCTGAGGCCTGCACTTCTCCAGAGCTGTTGGGGGTGGCTTCTGTGCTTTTACATCACCTTGTAGTCTGCAGGGGAGCCTGGAAAAAGTCCGCCCTTCTTTTATTTCCCTCTTCAGCCTACACAATGGCTTTCTGTGAGAGGGCTCAGTAAGGCAGAGCAGAAGGGAAGGGAAAGAGTTTTCAAGGTTCTTCTAGTTGCCCCCCCCCAACTTTTTGTAGAGGTGACATGTGGCTTTTGCAGTTGCACAAGGCTTCACGCATTGGGCACGTACAGCAGATGAGAAGGGCGCTGTTCTGCCAGGACAGGGCCGGGTTGGCGGGGACCAGCGGTCCAACAGCTTTATTTTCAGGGGTTAGAAATTAGCTGCAAAATTGCCCGTCACAAAGGAGAGGTCTGTACAAAGGGGGGTTACTTTCTCTCCTTTAACTGCTTCCACCATTGGGATCGTTTCAAGGTGTTTACTTGTATCAGAAGTTACTGTGAGCATTTATGCCCTGGCAGCCTGAGTTTGAAGGAGGAGCTCATCCTCTTTTGAAAGTCAAGTTTCGGAGGGTGAAGTTTTGCTAAGCTGTTCAGACTGAGTTTGTGTTGGGATCATTTCTTTCCCCCCATGATGTCGAGGTGCAGAGAAATGTGTCTCTGAAGTTTTAATCCTAAGAAAGACTTTTCTTCCTAAGAGCTCTAGATGTCTGCACAGTATGAGAGCACAGCTTTGGAAGCTTTTCGGTCTACCTTGTTTTCCAGTTTTCACTAGGGAATTCTAAGATACTGTGTTCTTCAGTCGAGTATTTATATCCTGTTTTGAAATGTTGGGTGGAGAGCATCTACTTGTTTCTACATGTTTCTTTAAGGGGAACTGAAAGGTCAGGTCCTCAGCTTTAGGGCTACCACAACTATTTAAAAGGGGGTAATAATTGTCCTCCCCTTCCTGTCTGCAGAGAATGGAGGTATTTCTGGAATTGCAATGCAATAACAAAAGGGCCACAGCTGTATACTTTTTTTTTTTTTTTCTGTCTCTCGCAGCGGAGGGAAGGACCACAATAGCTTTGCTCATTTCATAGGACAGCGCCAAGCCCGGTGCCTAGCACATAGTCATAGGTGCTCAGAGTTTATTGATCACCTGGTTGATCACTGCATTAGATAGAATTGGCCCTAATGTCAGTGTGGCGTCACTGTCGTAATCCACTTGGGTACCCACATCCACAGCCCATAATCTGGTTTGAGGGAGGAGATGGCTAAAGAGAAGCCCTGCCAATCACAGCTCTACCAACCATTCTGGCCACAGTTTCTTTATGTCCAAGTTGAAGGACTCGGGCTCAGCCTGCCTGTTCTTTCCATGCACCAGAAGTCCACAGCTGTAGTCCATGTGGTAGTCAACAGAAGCGACATGGACCATGTGACCCATTTATTGTCCCCTCTGTCCTGACCCTACAGCCTAATGTTAAGCTATAAAAATACCTGCTTTATCGACAGTTTTTGGTCACATCTATTTTACTTGCTGACATAGCTTGTGGGTTTCTGCTGCCATAAAACCTGTGTTACACTCTTTGTTCCTTCCAGTAGCTAATTTAAAAAATACAAAACAAGAACTTTTTTTTTTAATACCACATGCCCAGACTACCAGGCTCTCCACCCTGAGTGCACAAACAGCCATGGCTCCCAAAGTCACACACTGTGTACGCGAGATACCTGGTCGGTAAAGAGCATCTGGGCCAAACCAGTTCCGTATAAACATTCTATCAGCATTGGCTAAGGTACTACTCAGGGATCAGAAAATTCCCACCCAATTCTTGTCCTCAAGAAATTTACAGATGTGCCAATAAGAATCTACCCTTGTTACTGCTCTGTGTTCTTAACTTGAGTAATCTGCTTTTACAATAGTGTATCAATTAAACAGCAGTATGATTTTAACTTCCCTTAGAATATTTTCCACAAATCACTACCATTAATTCAAGAACTATTTATTTAGTGCCTACAGTGTGCCAAGTGAGCCTCAAAAGTCCCCAAGCCAACATGTCCAGAAAGGCAATTATGTCGATCACCAAGAAATTCCTTTTAAATATACCTCTCTCAAAAACAAACAAACAAACCTCTCTCTGCTAAGCTCAGTGTTGAGAGTCATGAGTTGAGGTCTCTGCCCAGCTTGTGACCTAGAGGCCACTGGCCCCCCAGCTTCCTGCTGGTAGTCTGGGCAGTATTGTGTCATGGCAGTCAGCCTCTGTGCATGGGCAGCTCACAGCATCGTGAGGACCAGATGGGGGAGGCAGTGTGCTCTTGGAAGGGACCCTGAACTGGAAAATAGGAACCTTGCAGACTCAGTAATGCCACTGGTTATGGCCTTGACCCTGCTTTCTCCTCCTAACCAAATGGAAATTTATGAGAGCAACTCAAGGTAACAGATATGACAGGGCTGGGAGATGTTGGGACTGAAAGTACAGCGTATACATAGGAGGTAATATATTTTCAAGGGCGTGTCTGTCCCTTTGGGCATAAGTGATGGTGGTAAACATCACAGCAGTGCCCAGACCATCAGCGTCAGCATCACGTGGGAACTTGTTAAAAATGCCATGTCTTAGGCCCCATCCCAGGCTGACCTAATGAGAGATTTGGAGGGTGGAGCCCAGCTTTGTGTTTTCATCAGCCTTCCAGGTGATTCTGACACTCACTAAAATCTGAGAACCACTGGCCCAGACTTTCCCTCTGATTTCGTAACTTGGGGTTTAGGTGTTTCTGTTTTGACAGATTGGCTCCAAGGTGACTTTTGACCTTTTTTCTCAGTTGAAGCTGGCTGCCCTGCTCGGGGGGAAAAGCAAACACTGGATCCCCAGAGTTTGTAAGAAAAAGGGGGAAAGCCTGCTGCATTATTAGTTATTTTTTTGAAGGTGCCAGGAGAACTTGCCCTGGAGAGCTCTTTAAGGAGGCAGGCCTGAAAGAGCTCTCTCCTCCTCCCACCGGTGGCGTTTGCTTCACCTCCTGCCCTGGGGCCTGCTGCTCCTGAGTCAGGCCTTAAAAGGAGCAGTGAGTGCCACATTTGTTCTTTCTGGTGCCAGGTCTGTGCTATTTCACTTCGTCGGGCGTCAAGTGGATGCTTAATGAGAGGCCGTGACGTAGGCAGGCAGGCCGACTTGAGAGAAAGCAGCCTCAGTCTGTGCTTCACGCAGCTCCCCTCCCTGCCTGCCCAGCCTCAAGTTCTCCTCTCAGTGAGGCCCTGGCCTCCCCGGGGTCAGCCCTTCCGCCTAAGCAGTCCTCACTCGGAGCTGCTTGCCAGGTCTGTGGACACTGATAAGTGGCTGGAGAGGCAGAGTGAAGTGGTATCTTTAGTTTCTCCTACTCCCTTGACCACCTCCCTCTTCCCAGCCTAGTTCCCAAAATAAGAAGATATGGCCATGTGGGGATTTTTGCCGTTTCCTTTGTTTTTTGCGGGGGCGGGGGGAGGAGGGGCTAGTGCCATCTTTCCTTGTTATTCCTGTCTCTGAGGCCAGGGTTGGAGCTGGAGTTGACTGGTGGTCCAACTCTCCAAACTTGTGCCTTGTTAGATAGCTGGGGATCCCCAGTTGCCTCCTCCTTGACCATAAGAAAATACAGTCATGCTGTTCCTTTGGGTGAAAAAAAAACCCTCAACTCTGGGAGGTCTGAGCAAACCCTAAAAGGGAGTTTGTTTCTGGGGAAGATATTAAGCAAAGACTGGCAGGAGTTAACGAGAGCGCCACTGATGGAAACAGAAGAAGAGGGAATGTGCTGACCTGTAAAAGCTGGTATGTAGAGGTAGGGGCCATGCTTAGGAATCCCTGTAATCCAGCTAGTGAGTGAGGACAAAATGCACCCCCAATAAGAGCAGGGTCACTTTGTGAGGCTCTGAGCTCCAGTCAACTCTCCCAGGAGAGTAAAGGAAGCTCTGTCCGGAAAGGCTGGGGAAGCTTTACAAACCACCCCTTGTTTCCCTGAAGTGTACTGATCCTAGTGAAGAAGAGACCAGAAGAGAAGGTGAAGGAGAGGATAGGAAACAAAGTAGACAGAGATCAAACCAAATAGCTACTCCGTTTATTCAACACACGTTGACTGAGTGCCAGGCTACTGTTCATAGAGCATCTGCTCTGGGCTGGGGGTATTTTGCATTCTCTTTAATGTTCTTGACAACCCATCAAGGTAGGTGTTACTGGCCCCATCCTGCAGATGAGAAAACCAAGGCCCTAGAGGTTAAACTTGACCAAGGTTACCCAGCTAGTTGATGACAGACCTAGCCCGTGTTTGTTCCTACTATGCAGCCTCACCTCAAAAGACATGCCTCCCTTGCAATATGGTCTGCTACTCCCCTCTTCCCAGGTCATAGGGGCTCAGGACGGAGAGATCTTCTGCCCCTTCTGCCCTCCGTGTCATGAGGCCTTAAGTAAAGCTGTCATCGCCCTACTACTCTGCAGGCACCTTCCTTCTCAGTTCCTCCAGCTCTGTGCCTGGGTTCCCAGTAGTGCTGCCTCATGAAGAGCTTCCCACCTTTGAGGAGGGTCCTGTCAGTTGGTTGGCAAGCAAAGAGGCATCTAAGAGGAAGTCTAGCCAGACCTTTAGACAAAGGAGCCAGGAATTGCTACAGCCAGGCTCCCATGACCCTGAGACTTGTGGAGGAGTGTCTACGCTTCCCCCCTGCTGCAGGGCTGGTTCCATCCCAGGAGAGGAGGGTGGTGGCCCCCATAGTGCCCTGAAGAAGGGCTCCCCCTTTGTTGAGAAAAGCTCAGTGATACATTCCTGGCATTACAGTCTTCCTCCAGTGAAGATGTCCTGTGCCAGTCTCTGCACTCTCCAACCCCTAATGACTCCGTGACCTCCTTTCTCCTAATGTCCTTCTGGATGTTACCCTCAAAGAGAGAAACCCAATTCCTCCATAGCCTTTCTGCCCAGATTTTTTTTTAAGTTTATTTATTTTGAGAGTGGGCATATGAACAGGGTAGGAGCAGAGGGAGAGAGAGAGAGAGAGAGAGACGGAGGGAGAATCCCAAGCAGGCTCTACTCTGACTCGGGGCTTGATCCCACAAACTGTGAGATAGTGACTTGAGCTGAAATCAAGAGTCGGATGCCCAACCAACTGAGCCACCCAGGCGCCCCTTGCCCAGCTTTCTCTCCTGCTTGGGTCCTGTTTGTGAGGGCTGAACCAGAGTTCTGCCCGAATTCTATACCCCCACCCCATAGTCAGGCATACCTTGGCATATATCCTCTAATGAAGGCCCCTCTGTACAGTTGGTAGCATGGGGGTGGGGGGCGATGGTCGGGAGCAGTTTGTGAATCTTAGAATTCAGATTCTTGATCATGATTTTTTTTTTTTTTTTTTGAGAAATTTGAATTCAAGGGCTCTACCTGAATCTACTCTTCCCCAGATCCATCCTTTGGGAGTCATGGGTCAGGCCCATGCTCCAAATACATATATGTATATGTGACTAGATGGCAAGAGGAAACCTTCACCCTTACCTGTTCATGTCTCAGAGGGGTCCTCTTCCCACATGCATAAGAATATTCCCAAGGCTTTTAAAAATTCCATACCAAGGTCTTCCACCTCCTTCACCTTATCCCATTCCCAACCAGCTAACCAGTTTCCTCACTCCCCACTACAGGAAGTTGGCGCCACCCACACACTGGCCTCTCGGGCATCTTCCCAGGTGCCTCCGCTGCCCACCCAACTCTGAAGCCAGACCGCTCCCACCCAGCAGGAGCAGCCCTCGCCCGGTACTCGACATAGCCAGCAACAAGTCCTTAGAGTCTAGACTTTGTCTTTGCCCCCAGCTCTCCGTATCTCCTAGCCCAAGCGCTTCCTACTCCACCTGCGGTCCAGGAACCAGCAGCACAGCTGTCACCTGCAGCCGATTAGAAATGCACATGGCCAGGCCCTCCACAGACCTACCAAATTAGAATCTGCATTACTCTGCACCTTAGCATGTGAGACGGACTGCTCTAAACAGTCTGATCTGCTGAAAAGACAGCCCCTCCTCACGCTGCCTGTAGCCCTCCCTCTCACAGTGGAAAGACCCTGAGGATGATCTGGACACTCCCTAGAGACCCAGAGGGGCTGGTGAGGCCCAGGACCCTCAGCAGAGGGGAGCAGCCACCACAGGGTCAAAGAGGAGGGGAACAGAGGGGGCCACATGGGGAGATCCAGGCAGGAGCTTGGGGGGAAAAAAGGCACATGTGGTGAGAAAGGAAGGGACACCTGGCTTTTGGAGCAGAAGTGAGATGGTTCCGTTTGGGCTCCTCCCAGCATGCCCAGCTCCTGTCAGGCTCTGACAGCTGAGAATGGCTCCAGCCTGGGTCTGCTGGATGACTGAGCTCCCCCCCCCCGCCCGCTGGCAGAGTCACCATCGCCCACCGGCTGCACTGCTGGTAGTGGGTGCTCAGGAAATGTTTGTTGAATTGAAAGGAAGCCACAGCTTGTGCGGAGTCTGAATAATTCACCAGCCGTGGGCCTCAGGGAGGGGCAGGAACAGAGACTGAGTAGGAAAGACAAGTCCTGAAGTTGTGCTTTGCTAGAGTCGCTGTTTCTCTGTCCCTTGTCTGAGTCCTTGCTTTTGCATGACCTTGGTGCAGGGAGGTGGTAGGGAAGAGGAAGTAGAAGATGGCAGGAAATGGCCCTGGGCTGCAGGGCTGCCCCCTTCCCTCCCCTTTGGGTATACTTGAAGTCTGACCTGGGCAGGGGGTGGGGGGTAGGGTGTCCCTGGTAGTGAGCTCTCGCACCCTACTGTGGGGAGAAGAGGCTGCTCTTTCACACCCAACTCCACACCATTTCAGAGAGGAGGCCTTTCCAGGAACCCTCTCTTTTGCAGAAGAGACCTGAGCTCCACTCTCTCGTCACCAGCTCAGTCCCTCCCTGCTGTGCCCTCCCTTTCTCGGCTTCAGCCTCCTCTTCCAGAAAGGCAGGAGGCTGCTAGCTGATGGCCGACATTCCACTGGTTTGGCCATCCTGTGAGTCTGGGCCTGTGAGTGGCCTATGTGCAAGACAGAGGCATGAGAAAGGTCCCAGGCCCGGGCTGGCCCTGCCAGCTACTGAGGCTACCTCTACCTCCAAAGCCACAGCTGGAAAGAGAAGCCAGGCCCTGGGGGTGACAGAGGCCAGGCGAGCCAGGCGCTGAGTGTTTCTAGGCCGTGCTTTCTTGCCTTATCAGGGAAGCTTGTGGCCTGGGCAGCAACAGACCCAGGACAGGGCTTAACAGCCCCAGAGACCAGGTGTGACATAGGAATATGCCAGGAGCTTTACCTGCACATGAAAACACACCCGTATACAGGGAGGCACCCAAGGGTGTGCACATGAGGTACACAAGAGCAGCTCCTTGCCCTCACAGTGTCAACCCACTGGAGAGTTTGCCCAGCTGCTCAGCTGGACAGCCACAAACCACTGGCAACCAGACACCTACCACACATGAGTCCTGACCACAGTCTTCCCTCCTCCTCTGCCCAGCCTGGCCCCTTTGCTCCCAGGGGCTGTGCTCAGCATCTTCCCGCAGGGCCCTGACCCCCTGGCATGCTTCCCACACCTCCTGTGCCCCTTGCTCTTCGGCCCATTCCCCTGGCGGGCCTGCTCCGTTGTGCCAAGCCCGGCTGGGCCCCTGCCTTGCCAGCCCTGTGTTCTCTGGGCTCTAGGGGCCCTGCTCCTCCTTGTGGCTTGGAGCAAGTCTGTACTTCCAGCTCAGCCTGGGGGTCATTGCACCCCGGGAGCTGCTCAGAACCATCCTGCAGGGGTGCAGGGTTCTCCTGGGCTCCAGGCCTTGGAGGAAGCACGCACACACTCTCCCCAGGCCCAGGGCTATTGGCCCCTCCCAGAGAAAGGTCAAGGGGAACCAAGTCGGCGTTTTGTGGAGGGGCAGGTTCTGGACTGGCTATTGAGGCTCCTGCCTCCCTTTTTGGCCCCTCTGGGGATACTGGGGCTGGGCTGGTTGCTGGGGCACTTGTGGGTCTGCCCAACTCCGGCTTGCTCTGCTTCTGTGAATGTTCCTCCTCGCTCCGAGTCTTTCTGGTACTTTGGCTTCCCTGAAACAAGAGATTGGCCCTGCTGGCTGGCGAATTCAGAGCTCAGATCCCTAGCCCGTCCCATATTATTCCCAAGCACCCACCTCCTGGCTCTCCAGCTCCTCCTTGCCTTCCTTCGTCTCCCACCTGTAGAAATACAACATATGGCAGGGCCTACTCCTACCCATGCCTTTCACATCAGTTGCTCTGTAGCCAGGGGCTATGTTCCCAGGGAGCAACTAGACCCCAAGGGGCTCAGAGGAGTGTCAGAGCCAGAACAAGGCTCCAGGACACTTCCCTTCCAACCTAACCTCATTCCCCAAATCCGGCCATTTCCTCCAAACACCACCCACTTTAGCCCCATCGCAGGTACCCAGCTGCTGTTTATGACCAGACCTGTGGCACGCTGAGTTCCATGGGGACTCTGGACGTGTCCCTGCCTGCACCGCCTGGGAAAGGCATGCCTGACTTCCTGGGGGAAGGCAACTGCTGTAATTACAGGCGGCCTCCCTGGGCACCAAGCTCTTGCTGCTGCCGCCTTGGCTGCTGGCCTCTCCCGGAACCTCATTAACCTGCCACCAGGCAGCCATCAGGCAGGAGGCAGCGGCCCCAAGGGCCGGTGCAGGAAGCTGGACCGGTGCTGGTCCTGACCACCCAGGGGCAAGGGAGATCCAGGAAATCAGGAAGCCCAGATGCTTCCCCTGATTTTGCCCCCTGCCACCTGTTACCTGCGGGCCCTGCCAGTCAGCCTCTCTGTCCCCCGGGCTTTGCTTCGTGTGGCAGACACCACTGAGGATCTGCTGGATTGCTCACCCCGAGGAGTACCACCTGCAAGAGATGATCCACAGATCAAGGAGAGAAGAGGGCAGGGCAGCCCAGCTCCTTCACCAGCTCATGCAACCCTGCTCCTCCTTTATTCCCAACTCACCTTTACCATCAGGGGATAAGAGTGAGGACTGGAGCTTCCGGTGGCTCCTGGGACCTAAGTGGAGCAAAGGAAATGGGGAAAGAGCCGGGTGATAAAGGATCCAAAACAGTAACACCAGTTTTTACAGGACCGGGAAGCTGTCTGTCCTTCTCTTAGTCCACTTGTGGGTTTCCTGACTCCCAAAAAGAGCCCTGGCCTGGAGATGGAGAGAGTTGGGTGGCTGTGCTCACATTGCCGTTCCTGGCTAGGTAGCTGGCTGGGCCTCTCCAGCCCCACCTTCCTCGTGTGTGAAATAAGGGGACCAGCAGTTCCAAGAACTCTGTTCCTACAACAGGCCAGGGACAGGGAAATGGAGCTTTCACCCGTGAGGACCAACTTCAAAAGGATCCCAGTGCAGACTTCCTGTGAGCCTCCTTCCCAGAATTGCAGGGGTCAGAACCCAGGGTAGGAACTCTGGGTTTGGGGAGAGGGAAGGTGCCCTGCTCTGATAGTGAGGGAGAGGAAGGAAGATGTTCTTCCATGCCTCCTTCTAGCTCCAAAAATAAGTGGCATACCAAGTGACAGAGAAAGGAGAGGAAGCAGGGGGTGGGGGGAGGCTGTGATAAAAGCCAAGGAGGGGAAGGGGGTGAGGTGGGTATTGGCTCACCCCTGGTGCCGCCCGCCCTGGCCGGGCCCTCTTCCCGAGGCTTGCTGGAGTCCTGTAGCCTGTGGAGCCAGAGACTCAGGCTGCTGGAGGGTGGACACAAGCTAGGGCAAGACCCACACAGCCACTGCCTCCCCTGGCTCCAGCCCCAGAACAGATGGGGGAAAGATGGGGGATCTGGTGCCCACCCTGAGCCCAGGGCCCAGCCAGAGGGCCCCGGAAGACTCTTGACCACCCTGGAGAAAGTCCCACCAGCCCTCCAAGAAGCACCCACAGTTAGTCCTACCCTAAGCCCCACAAGCATGTCAGTCCAACAAGCTGCCCAGCCCTGCCACCCACGTGGGCTTGGCCTTGTCCAGGTCCCATGGGCGGCGCCAGTCACCCTGTGCATCTCTGTGCCTGGCCACACGGGCCAGGTCGATCTGTTCCCGCTCCTGCTTCCACTGGGCATAGTCCCAGCCAACCTCCAGGGGTCCCCCGGCTGGCCGGCGGGGAGCCGGGCCTGGGACCCGGCCTGGACTCTGGGGCTCCCGAGCACCCTGCAAGGAGAAGACGCTCAGCACCATGGGGTAGAAGCAGGAAGGCCTGGGCTGGAAGTGGAAATCTGGATACTACTAACCTCTTCCTCACCAGGTTTCGACATCCCCATCTAAAAATTAAATCCATTCCGTCTCTGACATGTTGTTTGCCATAGGCACGGTTTCCATCCACTTGTTAGCTGTGTCTTTTGAGCAAGTTACTTAACCTCTCTGTGTATCATTTTATCATTTGTAAAACGGGGGTAATGATAGCACCTATCCACAGGGTTGGGGGGGGGGGCGGTGGTATGGACAGGCCCAGAGTGGAGAGGCACCTGGCAGTTGTAAGCAAGAGCCAGGACTAGGGGCTGCTGCCACCTAGAGGTCACACCTGGCATATGGCCAGTCCCCTGCAGCCTCCTGGCACACCCCAAGTTCTGTCAGAGATCCAGTTAGCTCAGAGATCCACTTAGGGTAAGGGGCTGACCTCTGACTTCTCCTGTCTCTCACTGCAAGGCCCGGCCAACATGGAGACTGGCCAGAGAAAGGAAGAAGGGGTGGGAATTTTTGCTGATGCTGACTGGGCACTGTCCCCACAGATGAGGGACATATGTGACTCAGCTTCTCCGCCTCCCCCAAATGGGCACTGCCACTTTCACATCCCCATCCCTCTTGAAGATGTACCTTCCATGCCGAATCCGAGCTGACGGCCATCTGCATGGAGGGGGTCCAGCCCAAGCCCCCTCCAGGTGACCCTCCTGCCCCCTGGTTCCTTGCTCTGCTGGGCTTCTCACTTACAATCCGCTTGGCCTGGAGGAGATGAGGATGGGTAGTGTGGCACACCCAGGTAAGAGGTAAGAAGAGGCTGCCGGCCTGCTGCCTGGACTTCTCCCACCCACCCTGCTTACCTCAGCTTTGTTCTCCATGGTCACAGCCAGCTCCACCCGGTCCCCCAGGCAGAAAGTACCAGAGTGATCTTCTACCTCCTCATCCTCACGCATTGCATTGGCTGCTCCAGGTCCAAGGGATCTCACCCAGTTCCGGCTGACCACCCGCTTCTCCTGCAGAATGGGATGTCTTGTCCTCAGGCCACATGGGCGGTGCTGAGCAGAGCTGGACACTGAGTCCTCTGCGAGGTTCCCCGAGGCTGGCTTCCAGCCCTGGACCTCCCTGGGATGACTAAAGAGGAGCTGATTCTATGGGGCATTCACATGCCAACGACATTAGGTTATCCTTGCCCGGGGGCCACCCTGGGGCCCAAGATGCCATAACAGCCTGTCACCTCTGAGCTGGGAAATCCAGAGCACTCAGACAATGGCGCTTTGTCCCTTCCATACTGCTCCTGGCATTCGGCCCCACTTCTCTGTCTGGGGGTTTAGGAGCAGCCTGTGGTTGACAGCATAGGCGCAGGGCTGTGGGGCTGGGAACGGGTATGAGGAGGCTTAGATTCAGTGGCCTTTGAGCTGTGGTCCTTTGGGCTCAGCGGGACCACAGTGGGCTGGGCTGCCTAAGGCTGGGGACTGAAGGGTGAACCCCAGACCTGTGAGTGGAGGAAACAGAGGAGCACGAGCGGTTGTCTTCCCTGGATGCACACTGGGCCTCCGCCTCCTCGCAGGGCCAGATCCCCAGGCCCTTATAAACTACAGACCTTCCCTCAGCACTCGCAGAGCAGATACAAGATTGAACAACCCACCCTATCACCCCAGGGTGGGGCTTACACCGGGAACCTGGCTGATAGTGACAGTGAGGCCATCGGGTCGGAGGAATTCCCGCGCCGTCACAGCCATGCCCCCCTGCTCCGCCTGCCGACGGTCTTCCTGGATCTCCTGCGGGAGGGCCCGGGGTCAGCACAGGCCATGGCCCCCCAGACGCACAGAAACAAGCCTACACGGAGAGACACCAGTGGGACACCAAGGGGCAGAGGCCCGGCATCACAGAGTCCCCCAGGCCCTCTCAGAGTTTCTGAGATGAACCACATCACCCTAACCCTCACCCCAAGCCTAGAGCCTGCAGGGAGAGACCACCATGCAGGGGTCTGCGGGACAGGCAGGGCGTGCCAACCCAGCCACTGCTGCTCCCAGCCCAGCCCAGCCCACTCACCTGGTGCCTGCGGAGTAAGGCCTGGTTCTTCTTTCGAAGGGCCACTATCCTCCGATCCAGCTCTGCATCTTTCTCTTCCTGCCTGCTCATGGGTGACTCAGCGCCATGAGGCCCCTGCAGAGGGCAAGGGGCCCAAGCTCCTGACTGCCAGACCATCCTTTATCAGGCCCCTATCTTTCACATTCACCATATTCTTACCACAAATGGACCCCGGCACTCCGGAGCTAGGCTCACATGGGAGGGATGGCACATGGAAGGTCCCGAGTCCCCACCCTACTAGGCTTGTCTGCCTGTCTCTCGGCCTCCTTAGGGGTTCAGGTCAGGGCCTCATACCCGGGCCCTCAGCTCCCAGCAGTGGGGTGCCCCTCCCCCGGGCTCTCCAGGGAGCTCCACTGGCGAGAGAGCCTGCCGAGCAGGAATGAGAGTTATAAATGGCTCTGGCCGCAGAACCTGCCGTGACTGGGAAGTTGCCAGGGGATTCAGGAGGTCGAGGAGGGGAGCTGTTGGGCTCCCAGGCCCAGAACCGCAGTAAAAAGAGAAGCCCCCCCTCTGTCCTGGGCTCCCAGGTCCCGGGCCCCACTCCCCAGCCGTGTGGCCCAGCCTGTGGGAAAGAGCCGCTGTCACGAGCTCAGCCTTTCCAGGCCCTCAGCTTCTGGCAGTCGGGGCAGGAGAGAGCCAGCTCTACAGGCAGGCCCAGCGAGGCAGCTACCCTAAGCAAGCCATGCCTCTGCCCCAAAATCCCCAGGTCTCTCCCTGCCTGGCTGCAGGGTCTCCCTTGTAGCCAAATGCCCCTGCCCAGCCCCCTGCCAGCCTAGGCACGGCCCTGTTCCTCCCAGGCCCAGCTGTCCCCAGCTGCCCCCCCGAGTGTGGCTGTCCCGGGCCTCCTCCCAGCCCCAAAAAGCCCCCCGCCAAAGGTGAGGTGCCACTCACAGCTGAGTGCATGGCAACAGTGGGCACCGAGAGAATTCCAGAGCAGCCCCAGGGGAGCCAGAGCAGGAGGGAAGCCGGAGCCGCTGCGCCACCGGAGCCGGGCCTCTGCCGGCCTCTCCCTGCCGGCTTCACTGCTCAGCACACGAGATCATGTTGTGATTACAAAAGACTCCTCTGGGCTCCCAGCCAGGAATGCTGTCGCCGCCGCCCCCACCCATCCACTCTCAGAGGGCAAGGACCAGGGCACTGGCCCTGCCCAGCACCTCTCCCTGCCCTGCCCTGGCGTCCCCAGAGACACAGGCAAGAACCTTTCTCTAGCGAGTTGGGCCCACACAGGGGGCCTGGCTGCCCCAGGCCCTGCCTTCTCTGAGGCTCTATGCCCAGCAGAACCCCAGCCTGGCCGTACCTGCAGACGGATGGACAGCCAACGGAAGCCTCCTTCCCTCCCATTAGTAAAGAAAAGCCTAGATAGAGGATGCAGCTGAGCCCATCGGGCATCCTCGTCTGAGGACCCCCACCTCAAATGAGCCTCCCCTTATTTGTCCTCGTCAGCTCTGGTCTGAGGAATTTGAAGGGACCAAGAGGCTCACCTCCCCTAGGCCACCAAATACTACCACATACCTGACATAACACCATTCGTCATTCCTTTAGGTTGAACAGTGTCTTCCCTGGGTTTAAGAGTATAGCCACTGCAGAGAGGCTCAGCGGTCCGAGTGTTCCCTTGGTGCAGGGAGATGGGCCTTCCCGCAGGGCCCAGGCCGCCACAGCCGGCTACTCCGCGCCCTGACTCTGGGCCCTTCCTGGCCTCGCTCTCCAGGACTGGCCTTTCAGCCTCTCTCACCCTGAGCAAGGAGGCAGTCTTTCTCAGGAAAAATCTCTCTCCGAATCTTCCCAGTATGGCTGAGGGAAGCAGCTTGCCTGGCAGTCCCACTCTTGGGGCCCCTGGGAGCTGGGGCTTGGGGTGCTGGGCGGAGGGGGTGGTCTCTCTGTATCAGGGGTGCCTATGGTCTGTTTCAATAGCTACAGGGCCCCGACCTCCAAGACCTCACAGGAGGGTCAGAGGTCCCGGTATCCCTGACATTCCTGATCGACCAGGCCTCAGTTTCCCCAATCCCATGCTCTGTCTCCAGAGCAGAAATCCTCACTCCCTCTCACTCCTCCCCAGACCAGCCCAGGCAGCCAGAGCTTCGATCTCTACTCCCCTTGAACCATCTGTTCCGTCCCCCCTCAAATCCCCACCATGGTTGGCCTTTTTCCGGGCCAGGCCTTCACACGGCACCCCTGACCCCACAGCCAATCTCCACAGCCCCAGAGTTCCCATCCTGCTTGGAAATGCCAGCGCAGTCTCTCTTCCCTTCCTGCCGGATGTTCCCACTGAGTCAGACTCCCGGCAATGGTGACGTACCCAGTCTCCTCTCCCCGAGCCTCTGTCTCCCTCTCTCTCTCTCCTTCTCCCACCCTCTCCACGTGCTACCTCACACAGCCTGCTGAGTTTCATCCTAGCCCCCGAAGGCCACCAGAGGCGGGGCCCTGGCGGCATGGCCCCGGAGCTTCCCACCACCTACCCCGCCCGTGTTGTTGGAACTGGGAGGCGTGCACAGCACTAGCCCTAGATGGAGAGACGCCGCCGCTGAGACCTAATGTTCTCCATCATCTCCGGCTCCCAAACCAGGTCTGGGGCAGTGGGGTGTAGACAGAGGAGGCTACAGGGGTGAGGCAAGGTCGGCTGTGCCCCTCACTCCTGTTCCCAGCCAGGGTCAGGGCAGGACAGCAGCAGAGAGACAGGAAGCACAGGTAACAATCCGTCCATCCCATAGGGAGGGTGACCCCCCCCTTCTGGAAGGGCCTGCAGGGACAGACCCTCCTAACCTAGTGAAGGCCCCCCGGGCCCATCGCGCTGCAGGCCCACGTTTTCCAGGACAAACCAATGATCAGATAGGGCCCCACAGTTGCCGGCCGGGTGCTTGCCAAATGTTACTCACAACACATCATCCCTCAGAGCAGCTGCTACATTCTCCTGTTTTCTCCAGAGTCTGAAGTTTGCTTGTCTGCTCCCCCACCGGACAGAGGCTCTCTGAGGGCAGAAATGGTATACCGAGTGCCTCTGGATCCCCAGGGCCTGGCATAGCTCCCTTATCAACTCCAGAGCCTCCCTCAGCGCTCGGAGAGCAGATACAGGAGTGAACGACCCACGCTATCCCATGTGTGGCTATAAGTGTCCTATGTATGTTCTTTGACTGCCTTTCTCTCCACCCAGAACAGATGCAGCGCTGAGTAGTGGTAAAGGCTCCTATGAAGGGTAAAGAAAGGACCCCTTTTGGGGGGAGGTGAGAGACACCGTGTCTCTGTTACCCCATGCCACCACTAGGGGACAGCAGAGTCACAAAGCCTGATGAGGTGTGGGCTCTCTTCCCCTTCTTCCCTCCAGCTCCCCAGCTCCTCTCCCTCAAGTCTCTGTAATCCCCAGACTAGAGAACTTCCAACTCCGCCATCTTAGAGAAGCTGCACAGTTGTAGAAGCCTTATTTTATTGACGAGGAGGCCCAGAGAGGTAACACCACCTGCCCAGGCCACACAGCCTTTTGTGTCACAGATGAGACGAGAAGCCAAGGCGCCTGCCATCCAGTTGTGCATTTTCCTGCCCCACACCCCAAGGTGGCCCCCGAAACATGGCTTAAACCTCTATGATTTACTCTATCAAAGTAACTCTTTTGTCAGACATATTTCTTATATTTGTTTCTGCAGATACTTCGCTCTGTGCCCTCCTCTTCCCTGAGCTGAGGTGGGCGCATTGTCCTGGCACCTCAGCCATGGGTCCTGGTCACCTCTCTTTCCTGCCTGTTCCCCCACCCTCTCCGGTGACCTGCCAGCTGGGCCCACAGCCACACACCTGGAGTAAACTGTATTTGGGTGGTATTGGTGGTCCATGGTATACAACCTTGAGCCCATCCTGAGGACAAGATGGCTGCAAATCTAGGGACTGTCACTGAGGAGGAAAGAGGAGAGAGGCCTGCACGGGAGGAAGGGACTCTCTGGATCACTCATCGAGACTGGGAGCCCAGACTTGACAGAGGCCCCCTCATGGGCCGCATTCACCATTTCCAGAATGGCGGCCCCTGCCCATGGCCAATTAATAAATTGTAAGCACTACAGTCCTTGCCCTTCCTCAGCCTTGTCATAAGATGGGGGAGAGTGGGATGGGGAAGTCCAAAGTAACTTCGTTGTCACTGGCTGTATGACTTTAGGGAAGTCCCTCTGGTCCCTGTCTATAAAATGAGTTGTACCTACTCCTCCAAGTCATTGGCAGATCAAAGGAAATGACGTGTCGTATCTATATCTGGAACAGCACGCATCCCAGGGTAAAGCTCAACATAGTTTTCTCTTGCCTCCGGTGACCGTACCGCCGCCTCGTGGATGCTACCACTACAGCATCCTTTGCTGCCTCCTGCCAGCCTGCTGGGATCTGAACACACTCAAGACTTCTGAAGTGTGAGGCCCGCTTGTGACCTGGTAGGGATCCCCTCAGCATCCTTTCTGAGCCCACCTTCATGATGACCCTTGCCCAGGAAATCCCGCAAGACCAGGCTCCTGCCCCACACCCTGCAGAGAGTTCCCCTCCCCCTCTCCCCCTCCAATCCTGTCCCCTCTGAAGTCCCAGGCTCTGGCTGCCATATGTGGCCAGCTAGCACTGGTGCTCCCAGAGGCGGTCCCTGTGCTTTACCTGCCTCTGGATTCCACTGGGCCCAATTCCAGGCTCACATCCCCGTTCCCGGGAGCCATTCCTGGCTGGGGCCAAACGCTTAGAGATCACCGCGGCCACTTTCCCTGCTCTGGGTGGGTGGATGAGTATTGAAGGAGGAGTGCGGGCAAGGCTGGGTTACACGAGCACCCAGACAATAGGCAAACAACCCTCCAAATGGGAAGAGTCAAGGTGACTTAGAGCCTCCTGTGTTTCCTTTCCTGCAAATCCACTCTCCATCAGGGCCATTCCTGGCTCAAGAAACTGCTTTCCTGACTCCTCCTGGCCTGAGATCTATGTGCAAGCCTCTCAGGCCAGGCCAGGCCCGGCTCTGGGTGGGGAGGACTCTAAGTACATGAAGTAGGGCCAGAAGGACAAGCTCTGGGCAGGCTCCAGCAACCGGGGGCAGGCTGAGCCTCACCTTTCCAGAGCACATGCCAGCGCAGGGTGGGGCTGAAGCCATTTGAGGTATCAGGAGGCAAAAGCCTGATGTGGGGACCCACTCCTCCATCTGCTTTCCAGGGCACACCCAAGGCTGGGACATTGCAAGCTTTCCAGCTCCTGGCCCAGCAGAGGGAGATGAACCCCTGGGGTCTCCCTTTTTTGGGGCTCTCTTCTCCATGATGGGTGCAGAGTTGACTCATAGTGTTTTCCCAGAACCCAAGACCCACCCCTGTCCCCAGTCCCCAGCCCAGAGCTGCCCACAACCAGAAGTGGAGTGCCACCCTGTCAAGTGCTTGCCCACAACGTTAACAGGGTGTGTACTGCATACTTTTCGTGGCCGAGGCAAGTAGGGAACCAAGAGGTGAGGATCCAGACTCCATCTTACAGGCACTTGCCAACACCAGGCCATGTTAGCCTAAAGCCAGGGCAGCACAGGGCTCAGGCCAGCCAAGCAGTTTTCCAACTGAGCTTCAAGGGGATGAGCAAGACTCAGCAAGGGGTTGGTCATGAGAGGGCATCCCGTGAATGCATGATGGCAAGTGGCAGTGGCGCAGGCAGGGGGCTGTGTTCAGATCCCGGAGGGAGGGGTCTGGGCCAGGCAGAGCAGCAGGGGTCCAGGGAAGAGTGAGCAAGGGAGCCCCCAGGAGGACTCAGAGCATTGGCATGGGTTGGGGGTGGGAGGAGGTGTGGAGTGGAGAGGGGAGGAACCAACACAGCATCCAGGACTCAGGCCTAGGGGCCCTCACAAATGAGGGGAACAGGCCAGGCTTGCCTGCGTGTGCCCAGGGGGCTCTTTCCTGGGCAGGCAAAGAGGCTGGAATGCTAGCATGGGACAGACAGGCTCTCCCTGCACTTGAAGCTTATCACAGGGGCCTCTTCATCACTTGAAGCTCATGGGGGTGAGATGGTGGTGGGATCATACCCTCTAGGCATAGTGAAAAGGTCTGGCCCAGTTTTGAGGGATACGAAG